GGGAAGCCCAGCTGAACTTTTGTACTTTAATAAAATTGGCTTGTTCAGCTGTCTTGTGCCTTAGCCTGTGGTCCTTGGCGGAGAACTCAAACCCAGCACTGGTCTAACCTGAATTCAGATTTGGCCGGTAACAGTGGTGTCCTTTTTCCACATAGACCAAGGTGTCATTCTTTCAGCTCTCCCCCCCCCCTTCAGTTATCACCACCTTCTGAGCATTTCCTTCCAATCTACGTTAATGGGCTCTGGTGATCCTACCTCAGCTGACTCTCCATGTGTCTGGATGGACTGAAAAAAGGGAAGCCTTGTATTTTCCCATAGATATTTCCTCTGGATGAAAGCCACTATCATCCTAATTTGTAAAGTAGGTCTGAACACATTGTAGCCTTTCCATGATGGGTTTGTCCTCTTTGATAATGTTCCTCAACTGAACACCTTACCCTGATATTAGTAGAGCAGCTGCCTCATCTGAGCAATCTACTGTATCTTTATCATTACTAACTGTCAGGGATGGGGTCTCAAGTTGCAGAACTCCTTGTCAAGTCAGATTTAAGTTGCACTAGTGAATCCTCTCTTTTTTTCAGTAGAAAAGAGCTTGTTTTGAATGGGGACTTGAACCAAAGACTCAGACATGGACTTTGACTCAGGATTCAGACCCAAAGACTTACCAATATCCCTGCTAACCGGGTGTCACAGCATATGCATTTATTATGTTTGCCAGGTTTGTTCTTTTCTCATTATTACCATGAGTGTTCACTATCTTATGATGAGCTTACTACTTACCCCCATGTGAGTACATGGAATAGAAAGAAGAGAACAGATAACTTCATCTGTAGCAATCTTTTTTATTTTTATGTTATTGTCTCTCACTTTTCTCAGAGTAAGAGACCTAAGATGGCTGCACATTTCAGGCAGTCATGTCTGCATTTGCACAACACACCCTCTGTTTTGCCATGCTATCCTCACCCCGATACTTTCCTTTCCTTTCACCAGTCAGTAGGAACTGAATTGGAAATCTGTGAGTTGTAACATGGCTGGATGTTCCACCCAAACCCTCAGCTCTAACATATCTGGGGAGGGGCAGCTCTCTACAAAGACATACCTCATATTTATGTGAGCACTAGATGACTGGTCAAAAAGACAGAGTTAGACAAACAATCTGTTCCTCAGACAGGATGGGGGCAGTCATAAGCAGTTAATCTGTCTGGGGGTGGCGGCATTCAATCTGTTTTGGATGAGACTCCATTCCTCCTAAAGAATCAGGTTCATAGTCAGAAGACATTCTTAATCCAGATTTATTCATATGACCTCTATAGCATGGCAGAGGGGACAATGCTTTGAATTTGAGAGACTCCAGAAACCCATTCCTAGATTTTAAAGGGTCACATGTTTTCCTCTGACAATCCCCTGCCTCTAAATTTTGTCTTACAAGGGCAAAGGACAAAAAATTAACACAAATAAACACTGCTTTCAGGAATGCCAAGTGTGTGTGTGTGTGTGTGTGTGTGTGTGTGTGTGTGTTGGTGTGTGTGTGTGTGTGTGTGTGTGTGTGTGTGTGTGTGTGTGTGTGTGTGTGTGTGTGTGAGAGAGAGAGAGAGAGAGAGAGAGAGAGAGAGAGAGAAACAGCGAGATATAGAGTGATAACCTTATTATTTATTATTAACATATTTAACAGGCAAAAGACAAAGCAGAAATCTTTATCAGAAATTGATCTTAAGTTGAGTATTTTCAAAAGAAGAATTCCAAGTGTGACAAATGCTTGATATGTGTTATATTAACAAGTAATTCTATTTGATATGTTTATTATGTGGGGTTTGATGGTTTAGAACTATTTTATGGTTTATATATTGTGTCTTATTAAATTTTACATTTAAAAATGCTTGTTAGACATTGTTTCATGAGATTACATTATATACAAACACTGTTTGCATAGCTAAAACACTCTATAAGTTAAGTTCCTTATTATTCTTTGATATATAAATTAAAAACAAAGGCAATTTTGACACTAACGTCTGCAAGGGAGATCTTGGTCTGTGGTAAACTAATTTCTGAACAGGAACTGCATTGTGAGGATGCGTACGTGACCTTTGACTCTAGTTGGCACTTAGGATCAGAACTCAACCTGTCTTGGTCTATTAGTTTAAGATTCTAATGGCACAATATTATCTCTGATTGTGGGTGGCAAAGAGAAATGTTGCATATGATCTGGAATAGCATCATTGATGGAGATTAGGAATTAATTAGTACATTAAGATTTTATTTAATAACTGCTTGTTTATCGAGACTGAAATTTTTCATAGATCCAATGTGTGAAATATTTTGAGCAATTAAATGGCCCAATTTGTTGATGCCCCAAATTACCAAAGTTCATGAAGAATACCTGAAAAATACACAGATTCAATGGTTAAACTCAATGGGTTGTCCAGAACATCCTGATCTTTCAGGTATAATTCCTCTGTGTATTCTTGCCACCTCTTCTTGATGTCTTCTGCTTCTGTTAGGTCCCTTCCATTTTTGTCCTTTATCATGTCCATCTTTGCACAAAAGTTTCCTTTAATATCTCCAATACTGTTCATATCTTTGGTTTTTCCCTTTCTATTCTTTTCCTCTATATCTTTTGCACTGTTCATTTAAAAAGGCCCTCTTGTCTCTCCTTGCTATTATTTGGAAGTCTGCACTCAATTTTCTGTACCTTTCCCTATCTCCATTGCATTTTGTTTCCCTTCTCTTCTCTGCTATTTCTAAGGCCTCGTTGGACAGCCACTTTGCTTTCTTGCAAGTCGTTTCCTTTGGGATAGTTTTTGTTGCTGCCTCCTGTACAATGTTACGAGCCTCCATCCATAGTTCTTCAGGCATTCTGTCCACCAAATCTAGTTCCTTATATCTGTTCTTCACTTCCACTGCGTACTCGTAAAGGATTTGATTTAGATTATACCTGACTAGCCTAGTGGTTTTTCCTACTTTCTTCAGTTTAAGCTTGAGTTTTGCTATATGAAGCTGATGATCAGAGCTGCAATCAGCTCCAGGTCTTGTTTTTCCTGACTGTATAGAGCTTCTCCATCTTTGGCTGCAGAGAATATAATCAATCTGATTTCAGTATTGCCCATCTGGTGATGTCCATGTGTAGAGTCGCCTCTTGTGTTGTTGGAAAAGAGTGTTTGTGATGACCAGCTTGTTCTCTTGACAAAACTCTATTAGTCTTTGCCCTGCTTTGTTTTGAACTCCAAGGCCAAACTTCTCTGTTGGTCCTTTTATCTCTTGACTCCCTACTTTACTATTCCAATCCCCTATAATGAGAAGAGCATCTTTCTTTGGTGTCAGTTCTAGAAGGTGTTGTAAGTTTTCATAGAATTGGTCAATTTCAACCTCTTCAGCATTGGTGGTTGGTGCATAAACTTGGATTACTGTAATGTTGAAAGGTTTGTGTTGGATTTGTATTGAAATCATTCTATCATTTTTGAGATTGTATCCCAGTACAGCTTTTCCCACTCTTTTGTTGACTATGAGGGCTACTCCATTTCTTCTATGGGATTCTTGCAAATGATAATCATCTGAACTGAATTTGCCAATTGCTGTCCATTTTAGTTCACTGATGCCTCGAATGTCAATGTTTATTCTTGCCATGTCCTGTTTGACCACATCCAGCTTACCAAGGTTCATAGATCTTACATTCCAGGTTCCTATGCAGTATTTTTCTTTGCAGCATCAGACTTTCCTTTCACTTCCAGGTGCATCTGCAGCTGAGCGTCCTTTAGGTTTTGGCCCAACCACTTTATTAGCTCTGGAGCTACTTGTACTTGTCCTCTGCTCTTCCTCAGTAGCATGTTGGGTGCCTTCTGACCTGAGGGGCTCATCTTCCAGTGTCATATCTTTTTTAGCCTTTTGTTTCTGTTTATGGGGTTTTCTTGGCAGAGGTACTGGAGTGGCTTGCCAGTTCCTGCTCCAGTTGGTTCACGTTTAGGCAGAACTCTCCATCTTGGGTGTCCCTGCACGGCATAGCCCATAGCATCTCTGAATTGCTCAACCCCCTTCGCCATGACAAAGCAGCAATCCATGAAGGGGATATGTTTAAGATACACTATATGGGAGGGATGGAGGCAGTCTTCTATGCAACATTATTTATCTTGGGCAATAGTCACTTACCATCTTCCCGCATTGTCAGAATCATTTGGTTTGACAATACGTCTATTGTGATTCTAGCTAGAATACAGAAGCCCTTTAATTTATTAGTTTCTTCCCCGTTTCCATTTGTAACTTCTAACTTAGTTTAAAATGCTAAATGTTTGGATGATTCAATCTGTACATATCATGTAAAACGACTGAGCGATAATCCTTGAGTGAATTAACTGGTAGTTGTTTCTCTTCTGCTCATTCAGTTTTTGCATCTGTGGCTGGTGTTTTCCGTTGCTGTGAATAAAGCCTCTTTGTAAACCACAAGCTGAAATTATTTCAGTGCCAGACCGTGGGGGGAATCTCTGCAAGAGTGACTTGATAAACGCGGTTTTTATTTTCTTTTTTGGTACGATCAGGCATTCGCTGTACGGCAGTTGAGGCGGCTGAATCTCCGGCGGTGGATATTTTCTCCAAAGGGCTACAAGTGTATGCAGTTTCTAAAACTGCATAAAACTACTTGGGTAAAAAAACCCTAATAATAATAGAACGATATAAAAAGACTAGAAAAATGATCAGCTCCTCCTCATAGTTTTAACCCACGGCTGCAATAAGAACCGAACTACATTTCCTGCCTCGGTGTTTACCTACACGACATTCACCCTTCCTCGCAGATTCTAGGAAAATCACTTTTTCCCCCTCCAGTCCTGGACTGCTGAGAGAGGGCGAAAAAAAACACCCACCTTTTTTTTAATCCCGGAGTGACTTTCTCCCACTCCAATCAGAGCGAGGCAATGGGCCGGCGTTCCCGACTTTTCCCCAATCCCTTCGGTGACTCCCTTTGGCGGGGCGGGACCTGGGAAGGAGGGAGTGACGTGCGCGGCTCCCTCGGTCAGTCCTTGCTTGGAAGGCTGACATGGTGTAGAGAGGGAGAGCGCCCGAGTGCGGGGAAAACCGGGGAAAGACTGAGCAGGATGGTTTTGTGAAGCTGGGGAGAGAGACGGCGAGGCCTGGGGTTGGATCCGAAGGCAGAAACTTTTGGGACGGTCCAGGGGGTGCTTTCGGTTTAAGGTAAGTGGCTTTTCTGGGTCTTGGGAAAACTCGTCGGGAAGAGTGCGGTGTTGCAACCCGGCCGTTTGCTGGCCGATGCTGCTGCTTCGGTGAGAGCCGAACGAGATCCTTCTTTAAGCGCAAATGAATCGTTTTAAAAATTCTTCGCATTCTCTGCCCTTGAGTTGCCTCACTCCCTCCCCCTTGTCCCCCGGCTTAAAAAAAAAACATAGGTTTCCAGTTTGGCCGATAGAAGCTCATCAGCAGGAAGTGTACAAAGTTAGGTTCCTGAGTGGCGGGGGTGGAGAGTCGATCGTGTGGAGATTCGGGAGGCGTTTGGGGAGGGGGGGGGAGAGACACGCTTCTTGAGCAAGACCGATTCAGGATTGTAACTGGAAGATCAGGAGGGAATTAGTAAGGTAAGCAAGAAATACCAGACTTCTATACTCTCTGAGTGAGGCTGTGTGTGAGAGAGAGAGAGACAGAGAGAGATGGGGAGAGAGAGATTTAAAGCAAGGATGTATTTAAGTCTGAGGGGGAAAATGATACATTTAGGAACAGAAACAATATGGAGTTGAAATACTGCTCAAAAAATCTTGCTATTGCAGCATTACACTGTTGCTATTCCAAGAGGAAAGGCAGCTGAAACGAGCTGCCAGCTCTTCTGTTTTTATAGTGGTGCTAAATGGGACTGGCCATAACAAGTGGTGAGGATACAATGTGAAACTCTTGTCGTGCTTGGGAGAATATTTTTAGCTACAAGTTTAGTGTTTCTCAGTTTAGGACATACGTAATAGTCTCTGAGGAAAAACAATTATTATTTCAGACTAATAAAAAGAGTGTGAACTTTTATTTGACTTTCTAATTAAAAAGCAAACATACCTCTAATTAAAGATCCCAAGAATGGAGGTCTTGAAATAACTCTTTTCTGGATCGCTCTCATTAGTTTTATTAGAGTCCTACCAGCATGCCAATAGCTTAAGGAATGCAGCATGATAGGATTTTGAAGTTGTGGTTTTCTTAACTTGTAATAAAGTTGGATTTGTAATCTCCAGAATTTGTTTGCAGGATGTTAGTTGTAGACATGCTTTTCCAAATCTGTAGCCTTTTGCATGTCTACAAGTGAGTAAGCTTTATGAACATAGTGGGTCTTCTGTGTAAACATGCATAGGATTTGCCTGCCTCTTGTTTAGGTTCAGATATTCCAGACAAGGGGAACGTATGAGGTGTTGCTTGTGTGGCAGGTCCCTACCATCTCTTCATATGTTTAGTATTCCAGTGCTTTGAAGCCTGCCAAATTTCTGCTGTCTCTGCCCAGCGGAGAGCACAAGGGCTTCCATGAACACAGAGTTCTTTCTTTCTCTTCCTGTCTGAGAAACTATATTTCAATTAGGCATCTGGTGGCGGCTTATTCACAGGAGCAAAACAAACCCACCTTCTTTTGACCAGTAAATACGCTGGGCGGCACCATCTGAGGAGGGAATAAAATAGTGTCTGAAGGCCCTCTTTGAAATTCATGCCCATTGGGGTTTCAGTTCAGTTTGGTATCCTTAACCTTTGTTTTTGGACATACAACATATGTTCTTGTAGAATTTATGATGAAATACATCCTAGTATACTTGTATGCTATTAAACATTGCCAGGTATTTGTTTGTTACCAGTGCCTTGGGCACTGCGCTAGCATCTATCAGTATGTAAAAAACATACAAATTGGAAAGTGGTAATGGTGAGGAGAGTTTTAGTGGGTGGGAAGCCTATTCTTTGTAATGATTCCTGAGGGTAGAGCCTTTAGCAGCCTTGAAAAAAAGTTTGTGGATGTTACTACTCCATTTTCCTGTATTATAAATGAATAGTAACAGTACTACCTGAATATAAACCTCCTTAAATACAACAGGAATCATTTCTGAGCAAACATCTATAGGATTGGACATACGTTCAGAAAGATCCATGTTCTGACCTTTCCATCCTAATGACTATCTTACCCATATGGTTGGTGAATAAATGCAGATTCTTGCAGAAAATATTGTATTAGTAAGTGGAGGGTGGAGATACATGAATTGGAAAGAGTAAATATTAAAGATGCTATTTTTCCTGACCTCTCTTTCCTGCTTGCCTGTTCTAGACTTGACCCAAAGTACAGGAAGTGGGAAGTTCCTTCCTTTTTTATCTGATACATTTGAATTTCCTGCCAAGGCTGAAAGGAAAAAGATGAGAGAAAATACTTCCTTCAGCAGCAATGGATCAGTCTTGAAGCACTTGTGCATTCTTCCCACAGGTGATATGCAGCCTGCTTGGGGGATATAATCATCTTAGAAGTGCAGAGCTGCAAGGGACCCTATGAATCACTGAGTCCAGCCCCTATGAGGGAAGCAAAGTGGGGAACTGAACCCCCAACCTCTCATCCTGCTCCTAGCTTTAGCATCTAGGTTCTAAAAGGGGGAATTGTGAATCACTGTTGGCAAAACTGGTCTTTTTTGGAGGGCCTAAAGGTAATCTGTCAGTGTAGGTGATTATGTGAATAATAATTTGCAGACCTTATAGATGTTCTATGACTGTAACATGGACAAAAAGTGGCTAGCTGTGGAATATGTATAGTAGTATTTTGTCAATTGTTGCTTTTTCTTGGTGTTGTGACTCCTGCTGAACAACTCTTAAGTATTGAGAGGTGCCGGACTGCAGGAAGGTATGCAATTGGAGCAATGCAGTCATTCTGTCGTGGCTCTTGGAATAGTTTGCAAGGAAGTTTTGTAAATTCGTAAGGGGTTTGCATGTGATTCATGTAGCTTGCTGAACAGCTCAGTGAGATGGGTGTCTGGCTGGGAGTCAGTAGTTCCAGTCCCCACTTTGTGTGCCAGAAGAGCCAGCCTGTGCAGCCTTGAGCAAGCTGCACAGTCCCAGGGCATCCCCAGAAGAAGCTAATAGTAACTTCTTGGTGTACTCTGTACTAGAAAACCTTAGAGAAGGTTGTCATAAGTGTGAATTGATTTGACAGCATGTAAGAATGATTTTTCAACATCAAAAAAACTAAGATCATGGCCACTGGTCCCATCACCTGGCAAATAGAAGGGGAAGATATGGAGGCAGTGACAGATTTTACTTTCTTGGGTTCTATGATCACTGCAGATGGTGACAGCAGCCACAAAATTAAAAGACGCCTGAGTCTTGGAAGGAAAACAATCACAAACCTAGACAGCATCTTAAAAAGCAGAGACATCACCTTGCCGACAAAGGTCCACATAGTCAAAGCTATGGCTTTTCCTGTAGCAATGTATGGAAGTGGACCATAAAGAAAGCTGACCACCAAAGAATTGATGCTTTTGAGTTGTGGTGCTGGAGGAGACTCTTGAAAGTCCCCTGGACTGCAAAGAGAACAAAACTATCCATTATGAAGGAAATCAACCCTGAGTGCTCACTGGAAGGACAGATCCTGAAGCTGAGGCTCCAATACTTTGGCCATCTCATGAGATGAGAAGACTCCCTAGAAAAGACCCTGATGTTGGGAAAGTGTGAGGACAAGAGGAGAAGAGGACGACCGAGGATGAGATGGTTGGACAGTGTCATTGAAGCTACCAACATGAATTTGACCCAACTCCGGGAGGCAGTGGAAGACAGGAGGACCTGGTCCATGGGGCCACGAAGAGTCGTACACAACTTAATGACTTAACAACAACAACAACAAAGAATGGTTTATATGCATTGTATATGGTATAAAGGGCTCTTGTCAGCATAATATTTTCATTTCTACCAGATCTGGAGCTGGTGTATTGTGGTTTCAGATTTCATCTGTCCCATTAAGATGTTCCCGCCACCCACAACACAAGGATAATACTACCTTACTTCTTTGCAGCCCTTCCAGGGTTGCTTATTTGATATTTTCCCTGACAAACGGCTTTTCTTGTTCTTGACGTGCCCATGTTCAGTGGATGGAGATTGCAGGCTGAAGCACCATCTTGGGGAAGGATGATTGCTGGGATAATGCAATTATGGTGTAAACTTGGAACATCATGAAGTGCTTATGGATATCAAGCACTTACTTTCTGTGTCTTGAAGTTGCTGTCAGAAGACAAGAAACAAGGAATTATCCTTCCAGTTTTCATTAGGCATGTGACCAAGAACAGTCTTTAGAGTAGCACTATAGGAGTGTTTAGACTCCTCTATTGGGGAAAATCGCATCAACACAGTATTGTGGATTGTGCCCTATATGGAAGTGCTGACATTACATAAGTAATGACCTTCATGGAGAAAATCCACTCTCCACTTACCTAAGTGATACACTCCTATACTGTATTATTACTTGGAAGGTACTTTCTGCTCAGTGGAAACTCAATAAGATACTGTCCTTAGTACTAAGTGCGTATAACAAAAGAACTGAAATCAGGTTCCTTGTAACTGTTTAGTTCAATAGCTTTATGTCTTCTAGGAGACAGTTTTTTAACCCAACTTTACTTTTTAATTGTTTACTCTCTGTGTGTCCTTTCTTTTGTTTATTAAAGACCACTAAAGAAAACATTAAATGATAACTGCTACAACCTCTTGTAGTGTTAATAGTGGCTCCCACTATAGCAGCTTGCAAACAATGTCTTCATCACTTTTCTTTTTTTCCTCTCTTAAGTTTCTGGCATTAGAGGGCACATTGAGCAATATGGTTACCTGTAGACTGGAATAACACACACAAAAAATTGTTTAATTGCAGCAATTTGTATGTGTAAGAATCAGGGTGATGATGCAATTTTAAACTTTTAGTTAGTTTGGATGAAAACTTCAGAGTATTTTCCCTCAAGAGCTGAATAAACTGCAATATGCTATTCGTAAGTAGCATTTCCTACTTTAAACAATAACATAAAGCAGTTTTCTAGAACATTTATAGGGAGTGACTGGTTCAGATTTACCTCATGTTTTTAATGTGCAGACAAATTTTAAGGTTTTATGAGCAGTCAGCATTGCTAGTTCTTTTTCCTTTAAGCTTGCTCAAGGTTTTGGCAGTAAAATATGTACCGCAAACTGTTGGCATAAGGGCATAC